AGGGAAAAAGCTAAAAACTTGCACATAAATGATGACTCTCCAGAATATGCCATCAACCTAAAGAAAACCCCGAGAAACAGTGTCAGTTTAGGTCCTTGACAGAAATATATTTCACACAAATCCCCCGTTGCTCAAATAAACAGAGTGGTCATTTCGTTGTGCCTTTTCAGTGCAATTTACAGCATCCAGTACTGATGATAAAGGTCACAACTGTTTTACTTCTTGCTTTAATCAGAAATGCATTTTACAGTCAAAGATACAGTAACTTCACAGTATATCACGGAGTGAGCAATGTCACATCCAACCCTGTGGTGTACTTTCACAGCTTAATTATTCCACACATGGAAAGAAAGAAAAGCCTGACCAAACAAATCCAGATTTTTTTTAATTTTTTTTTTTTTTTTTTGCACAGAGATTGGCATTGTACAGCCTCTAAACCAAGTACTGTTCAGAATTCAGACTGCAAACATTAGGTGCTTTCAAAGATGAGTATTTTCCAGGGAAAAACAGGTAATGAAAGCAAAACTTTGCTGCTCTGCACCTCTACAGCAATGTTTGCTTACTTTTAACTAACTTCCAAACACCCACGCCCCCACTTCACACTGTTTCATTTGTCATTCGCTATTTATTTCAAAGCTGGAGGTTAAAGATATCTCCCTGCATCGGTAATTTTCATCTAAGTGATGTACACTGATGGTACATGATGGGCCCCAGACTCAGGTAACCCAAAGCTGTCTCCCATGGGGTCTGTTCTGGGTTCATCGCCCTCTGCTTTTCCCCTTTCCCTCCAACGAATGGCCAGGTGGCAGCTTTTTCACACAGTCCTCACAAAAAGGRCAAAAAGCTCCCAAGAGGTCTAGAGGAAGCTTTTCCACAGCACGAGTTTATGTAGCAGTGTGAGGTACTGTGGTGACAAGAGTACTACCAGTAAAGAGGCAAGAGACAGAAAATTGGGCAGAGAGATGGAGGCAGGCACAGAGCGCTGTGCTTACAGCCTGTCCTCCACCAAGCRTGCCGAGTCTGTCAGTTCTCCTAATAACTATGTCAGGATGGYTGAATGACTAAATTTTCTTGTTTGGGCAGCACGGGCGGCCCAGAAGGAACGGCCTATCGATCGCTGTCACTCAGACCATTTAGGCTGAGCCCAAATTACCCGAAATGGCAGCAGTACCWGCTGTATCTCCAGGGGAGCCCTGGCAGAGCCAGCCCGGGCAGCAATCAGTGCCCGAACCGTTTGTGACCAGCACGGGAGGGACACTGGGCTGGAGGAAAAGCCAGTGGCTCAGGGCACTCCCAAGCTGAGCCACCACAGCTCCCAGCCCTGCTGCTCGGGACAGCCACCCACGCTGCTGGGCCCTCAGCCACCCCTCCTGCCCCAGGAGGGCACAAAGACAGCGACAAAGCCATGGGGCCCACCTCAAACCCTGCTTGACCGCCACCATCGCTGCTGTGCCCCAGTGACACAGCCACCCTGGGAACACACAGACAGTGACAAAGCCATGGGGCCCACCTCAAACCCTGCTCGACCACCACCATGGCCTCAGTGCCACAGCGTGGCTTCAGCCACCCAGGGAGGACACACACACAGTGACAAAGCCATGGGGCCCACCTCAAACTCCGCTTGACCGCCACCATGGCCTCAGTGCCACAGCGTGGCTTCAGCCAGCTGCCACAGCCACCCTGGGAGCACACACACACAGCAACAAAGCCATGGGGCCCACCTCAAACCCCACTTGACCATCACCGTCAGCCCTGCACCCTGGTGCAGCCCTGCTCTGGTGCCACAGCCACCCCAGGAGCACAAACACACAGCAACAAGCCATGGGGCTCACCTCAAACCCCGCTTGACCACCACCATGGTGCCCCTGTGCCACAGCGTGGCTCTGGCCAGGTGCCACAGGTGCCCTAGGAGCGCACACAGACAGTGACAAACCATGGGGCCAACCTCAAACCACCCCTGACCGCCACCATTGGCCCTGTGCCTCAGCACAGCTCCAGCCAGGTGCCACAGCCACTCCGGAGAACAGGCAAAGGCTGCAATGCCATTTCCCACGCCAACAGCTGATGGATAAAATACCCAAGGTGAGAACATCAATTACATCTGCTGCCAAGAGAGCGCCTGCCTCTCCCACGACGACTAACGTCGCTTCCACTGACTTTCTGTGCGTCGTGATAAGCAATAAGCAATCGGGAAGTGTGGTGCAGTGGAAATATTTCAGCGCTGATGTTTTAACACAGAAACTTATGCATCTTCATCACACAGGAGCCAGTGTTTCAGAGCTCAACAGTGCTCTTCTCTGTGACTGCCTGAAACATAAACCTGCAGCCAGGGAAGGAGCGCAGAGGGATTTCTGCAAACACAGTTTGCCACAGAGCCGCACAAATTGCTCCGTGTAACCAGCACTGAGCAACAGGCAGCTCTCCTGCAATTACTTTTCCAAGACATTCTAACTAAAGTCTCATTTGGAAAGAAAGACACAGCCTGGCGGTCAGTTCCAGACAGTCTTGTTAGCGCTTTTATCGCAAGTAAGTAATATTAACAGACTGCGTTAAAAACTGATATGTAAATTGTGTCTTTGCCCACTGTTTGACACTGAATTTTATGAAGTATCAAGAGACTAGAAATCAAAAATCAGATTCAAGAGACTAGAAATCAAAAATCAGATTCCCAGAAACAGAGGCACCATAAGGTCTGTTCCTCTTCAAGTAAAACAGCACAGACTTGGGGAAAACACTTAAGGGTTAAAACTGGAATAAAAACAACACAGCGGGCAGTGTCTGAGGTCAAGAAAGTACTCTCAGAGTGGTTTCAGTTCAGCAGAGATTTCTACAAGTCAAGCAACTCATGTCTAAATTAAAAAGAATTAAGGTCTTCCTGTTGAACACCTATATATAAACACCTATACGCATATATATATATACATACATCTATATCTCAGTGCTTTCTTGCCCTGTAATTTATGTAACATCATTTTTATTATTGATACAGACAGGGTAGTCTATTTTTGGGTTGCTGAATCATACAGTGCTGTCTGGAATAGGGACGCTGCTTTGCACACAATTGAAAAGAAGCAGGATTAAAGAAAAATCCTTACCATGCCAGCTACACCAGCCTCAGAGCCCACATTTCAAGTGCACAGTTTAAAAGACACATTATTTGAATAGATATGTCTGTGAAGATAAGTGTTTGCCATAACTGATGTCCAAAGAAGTTTGATTTACAGTCTCGCTGCCCTAAAAACAGGGAAAATGTCAATTTTTGCTTAAAACTTCCCCAGGGGGRAACTCTGAGGGGCAGCAAAGGCTGAAGGGTAATGCTCACACCCCCTGAAAACACAGCAACCACACCATAGCCTTCAAAGAAATCCTCTGAATTTCTAGAARTAGCAAAGTATGAAGAAAACTGGAAAGCAGAAGTTCATTGAGTAGAGTCTGGTATTCAACACCATTTTTTAAAATTATTTTAACTTTTTACACTACTTATCAGCCAAATCAGTAGTTTGCCTATCAAAATAGTTTTCATATCAAAGTTAGAACCTGCTGACAAATTTTGCTGCTCAAATAAAGAAGCCTCCTTGGGCACCCCRGAAGAAAATTAAGATAGACATTAAAAAAAACTTGATTACATTCTTCAGAGAACAAGCCAAGAAACGAAATGTTTTGCATTTCATGTGGTAATAATCTAGTGGGATGAAATACCTTTGTTCGCCTAGAATAGAAATCAGAAGTACAAGACTCCAAATACTAGAGCAAAAATTATGTTTTGCCATACATGTGCTTGGACACCAYTCTCTGAGGGTGATTTCCTGTATACATTTCTTTATTTTGCATGCTAAAGATAAAATTTCTTTCTACTTTCCAACTCCTTGAAGCAAAAGCCACTAGAGAACAGGAGCGAAAGGCAGGGAAGGCTCCGCGGGGCGGAAAGACACTGGAGTSTCCAGCTGACTTTTGTACTAAGTAGGAAACCTCATCAGCGGTTGCTCAAGTTCAGAGAAAGCAGTGACTGATGCTATTGCTTTTCCCAGCACTGGAAAAATATGTTCACTAACACCTTGTCTCGCCGAGACGGAAGAAAAAGGAGGGGGGAGCGGGCAACGGGGAAGTCAGGACTCTCAATTCTCCTTAAGAAACCCTTTCTGCTTCTTTTTTTTTTTTTTTTTTTTTTTTTTTTTTTCCCCAGTGGGATTAGGCATCTATAAATTCCTGGGCGGGTTAAGACACTTTCAGCCAAGCGGTTCCTCTCGGCAGCAACCTGGGGAGCGCTGCCCCGGGCGGCGCCGCGGCCCCTTCACCCCGCCGCTCCGCGTTACCGTGCGGGGCAGGGATGGGCCGGGGGGAAATAAAGAAATAAATAAACAAGCCGGCGAAGCGGCGGGTCCGAGCGTTCCCTTCCCGGCGGATGTTGCCGAGCCGGCAGGCACAAAGCGGCCGATGCCGCCCGGCCAGCAGCGCATCCCTGCCGCCCGCACCATCTCCCGCGGGCACGGCCGCCGCACCGCAACCCCCGGCCCGCACCGCCCCGCCCCGCCCCGCACCGCCCCGTTCCGCACCGAACCGCGCCGCACCGCGCTCACCTGCGGGGCCGGGGCGCCGCTCCGCCGCCGCCCGCAGCGCCAGGGCCAGCAGCGACAGCAGCAGCAGCCGCGGCCACCGGGAGCCGCTCCACGCCATCTTCGCCCTCCGCACCGCCAGCCCCCGACAGCCGGGGAAAGGGGCGGCCGTGGAAAACGAGAGGGGAGAAAGGAGCCTGGGGACAGCTGCGGCCGGACAGCGCTCCTCCTCCGCGGCGGGCACAGCCACGGGCGCTCCCCCCGCCCGGCTTTATAGGGCGGTGGGAGGGCCGGCGCAGCGAGGGCACCGGCGGCGCAACAGGAGCCGGCTGTGGGCGCACGGTGCCGCTGCCGCCGCCGGGGAGGGGCGAGCGGCCAAGCCCCGCCTCGGCCCCGCTGCCGCGGGTGCGGCGCTGCACAGGCGCGGCCGCGGGGATGGAGCCGGCGGGCCGGGCGCGGCTGCGGGGGGAGCGGCTCGGTCTGCGCCGTGTGCCCTCGGTCCGTGCCAGCCCGGAGCGCTCCCGGCTTTTCCTGCCCCGACAGACACTTACCCACTGYTTTCACTGGCCGTTCTCTCCCGATCAACGTATCGGGAGATAATTATCGGGAGATAATTCGGGAGATTGTGAGCACCTGAAGCCGCTGCTCCGTGACCCCGCGCAAACGCAGCGTTCAGCTGATTCAGTTTGTCTAATCAAAACACACAAGGCTACATTTTAAACAATGAAGAATAGCCAAAAAAATCACTGAAGTTAAACATGATGATGATAAAGGAGGTGTACTGGCCCACCTTCACTCCCTATTGTGATACGAAGTATATTCAAAAAACTATAAATGTTTAAAAGTGACGTAAAATTATAAAAGCAGATGTCAGCATATTGGAATCAGTGCGGGTTTACACCTTGGAAATATTATTTGAACACCAAAGACATAATCCAAAACAAAAATTAGTGGTGAAAGTAAGATTCATGTATTTGTGATCCATGTATATAACCATCAAATAGACACCTCATTTTTCATCCTAAATGTCTCTATGGGCTTAACAGATGTTCTTTTCTGGAGCCACAGAGAAGCGAAAAAAGGGGGAAAGAAAGGAAAAACTTGACCTGGGCTACTACAGCTCTAAGATTTGTGTGCTATTCTTTGGAACCTGGGGCAGAAATCAGAGCCTGCATTATGCTCCCAGGTGCTTTTATGGTCCATTCTTTCTGGATCAGACAGCACACACAGCAGGGACGGAGAGCAAATCAAATAAAAAGCCTGGGTACTTGGTCTCAAGGAGCCCCTGCAACATAGAGGCCCATGAAAGYAGTTAGGAACTAAAAATGTAGTCATGGAATTGATGGAGAAACAAAAAAGATCCTCCAGTTCTTGGGCAATTACTCATGATGTACTTTTTCCTCCCACCTCTCCCAAGCATGCAGAGATTCACCAGAGAACAAATATGTTTTGAATGCAGACARTGTGACCACATTAATGCACATATCCATGAACAGTCTCTGCTCACTCCTCCAAGAACAGGCACCACTGCTGCTGATCAACTCACCACATTAGCTGAAAGTGAGCAATGCCTTAACTGGGGTGATATTGCAAGTACATCCATCTTTGGGCTTGTTTTTTAATAAACAAGTTCAATAAATTTGGCTTATGGAAAATGAAAATGGAAAAAGTAGCTAATATATCACAGCTGTTGTTTTAAGGGAGAAAACAGTTTAAACAAGCATTTCAAAAGAGGCCCTCACATCAATCCTCAGATCAAACCTCAGATCAAACCTCACTCAGATCCAGAACAGCTGAGAGACAGAAAGGAAGGGTAAAAGCTGA